CTGCTGCTGCAGGGGAGAGCTGGAGAAACTGCTGTGCTGCTTTCATGTTCCATAGCACAGAGACCTCAAGAGCTGCAAGGGAATCCCAAGATATGCAGGGATCAGCTCTGGCTTCCCACAACACTGCACTGAGGGATGCTTATCCGCATTGTTTTGCTCTTTCTGTGGATAGGGTGCTAGCAATGTGGCCATGAAATGTTGACAATGGGAGGCAGAAAAAACAGTTTGACCAGTTTTCACTTTTGGCAACTTTTGCACATTGACAACACTTTTGTTGACAAACCTTCCCAGTGAAGACATAGCCTAAAAAAGTTGAGAATGTCTCTTTAAACATGGAGCTTTATATATATTAGTGGACACCCATGTTTAAAATATAACTTTATCTTGCCAGTGTGGTTGGAACCTAGCCATGTTATAACTGTGTCAAAAGCTCTGCTCTGCTCTTGGCCTTGTATTTACAGAGGTAAAGCCATGCTACATTATAGATGGGCCTCTAAAATGTTTGTGGTGTGCATATATAAGCAACATTTTGTATTGCAGAGTAGACTATATAGTCGTTTACCATTGGGGTAGAAGGAACTGGGCTCTAAGCACATCTCTATCAGCTTATCAGTGGGTGGAGAGAAGTTCAACAACAACCACAAACATTCCCATTTTGCAGTTGGTGGAAGCCCTAGTGTAGGCAAGACTCCTGTGTCCTGATTCGTCTTCTGAAAAGAACATTGACTAAACATGGTGGTAAAAATCCAAGAAGCAGCTGAATCCTTGTATTTATTAAAGCTCCCACTACTGCTAACATTTGTTCAGCTTATTTTAAAAAATACATAAACACAGAGAGTGAGAGAGAAGAGAAAAAGTTATACCTTGAGGAAGGAAAAACTATGAGAAACATATTAATAACAACAAGCTCCTAAAGACTGTATTACTCCATAACAGATTTTCAAAGGAGCCTTGATCTAGATTCTTAATTTGCACCTGTAGTTTTGTGGTTTTAACATTACAGGTAATAGAATTCGTATGCAAACTCTAGTTGCATATCTGATCAAATATCCTGAGACCTGCTTAATTATGTATGTAAATGCAATTTTTGTTCACAAAGCCTCCCTTTTGAGGCATAAAGTAGTTATAAGCAACAAGTGTAAATTTAATGCCAGTCCTATAACTGGATCTAAAGGAGTGTATCCTTTTTGCAGAGTCCCATTTAATTTGATAATGCTCAATACAGATGAATGGATTTGCTATCTGACTGCACAATTTGGGCATTACAGGCCTTTTTTAAAAAGAAAAAATTGGCCTTTAATGTTAGATGTGTAGAGTAGCAATAATTTAAAAATTAAAAGTGAACTCAAACTAAAAGTTCAGATATGGGCACCAAAATGTTGAGATGTTTAAAATCTGAACCAGGATCTGAAGTTTTCAAATGGCTTTTATCTTTATCTTATACCTGATAGTATCTTTAGATCTGAAAAATCTTAACACTTTTGGGATATATTCAAAATGCAACCCCAAGTTTGCTATTTGAAACCAGCACTTAATATATGAAAGCAAATTTGATGGGATTGAGTGGCTGAGTTTGTATACTTCAGGGGGTAGCCGAGTTAGTCTGTTACAGAAAAAAACAACAAATGGTCTAGTAGCACTTTATAGACTAACGAAACATGTAGATGGTGGTATGAGCTTTCATAGGCACAGCCCACTTCTTCAGATGACCGGAAATATGAGTTGGGGATATGAAAACTCGAAATAAATAGGAGAGGGGAAGGGGAGGGGGAGAGAAAGAAAAAGGGAGAGGGTGGGAGACAGAGCATCATTAAGTATCTGGAGAATGGGTACTTAAACCTAATCAGATAAAAATCATAGTCAATAGACAGATTCCTAAAACAGGAAGAATACCGCTTAGGGAGCTGTTAGCACCTTCAGTGGTTATTAAGTAGGTAGAATCCCCACTAGCCCCATATCATGATTGAGTCCATTAGCATGTGAATTGAATTTGTGGATGAACTCTCATGACAGAATAAAAGTAGAGCTCTCTGCATTTAAAAAACAGAACATTTATTTAAATCTTTCAGAACAGATTTCCAGTTTGAAAAAGTGCAGGTTTTTAAAAATGAACTCATTTATTCCTTGTAAAAGGAAATCGGGATGGGACATTCCCTTTTCATCCTTCAGTTCATGAGATTATGGAAACACTTCACAACTCTAAACTTCCCAAAGACTTTTCAGGCTAGTGGTTCTTGTCATCTAAACTTGATTCAGAGGCTGTGTTATGCAATAAACCTTGCTTGTGGAATATAATGTCTGACTTCAGAAAAACAAAAGGCAGATGATTTGAATGCTTAAAAATTTTCCATTGCATTTTATTCCTCACGTGCTCAGTTCTGCCATCTGCCGGTGATCAGAGCTACAGCAGGATAGGATGTTTTTCTGGTTGGGTCAGATTTTTAACATCCTTTCCCTGAAAAGTGAGAGACTTTTTCTGTTTTTTCTCCCCAAGTTGTTATTAATGCTAGTGAGTTGAGCCATGATTCCCTCTACTCAGCAGCTAACAGTCCTACCTTTTCTTCAATAGCTTGTGGAGCCTGGCAGATTAGACTGTGGGGGAAGTTACAGGCTTCCTAAATCAGGATATGAGTCCTCTCTTTATTTCATAGGGACTCTAGATGCTTAAATGAGATTTCAAATGCCAATTGCGCTGAACTTTCAGATAATAAGGATTCTCTTCCAATCCCAGCTTCCCAGTGTAAGAAATCCTAAATCCTTTTTTGTAGATAAGTCACTATTTTCCATCCAGAAATCTACCATGAAGTATGGACCTAAGAAATCCCAGTTGCCCTTTATATTCTCTGTAAAGAACTTGTAATAAACGCTTCTAATAATCTGCTTTCATCAAACCCATAGGCACTGGGGTGGACAATAAAGAGAGATTTCCAGTTGGGTGGCTTATGAATTTCCTCACTGAGTTATGTTCTGTCTGTTACGTCCCAGATGAGTTTTCTCAAATTCCTCCCAATATCAGCCTCTCCCCAAAGCTAGTGGCATATCACCTTCCTCTTTCTTTGGCCAATACTGAAGATTTTCTTCTGAAGTATCCCACTTCCTGGAGGTCAGAGCCATTATCTCAGTGGAAAGGGAGCAATATTTTCTAGGAATTTGTCAAGTACTTTTTAATCCTCAAAGGAGCTGAGTGGGGGACAGATTTATCCTGGGCCTTAAGCAAATTCAAGATGGAATCCCTCCATTTCACCTTGACTGTTAGAGATTTAAAAAATATCCTGCTTCTGTGATGTTAATAAATATTTTATTCCATATCCTTATATTCTCATTGGTTCTAATCAGTATAAGGTTTCCTCTTGATAACTGGTGTTCAAAATAATGCATCTTTTCTTTTGGTCCAGTGTCAGTTCTGCAGTGGGGTATTTAAGCCCCATACAGGGACGGAAGGGGTGAAGGAGCAGATCTGGGCACAGATGACTCACCCCTTCCACACCTGCAGATCTTACTGTAGGTATAGGAGGAGCTTAAAATGGAGCCAGACAGCTCAGAAAGAGGGGGAGCCTGGCAGAGAAGGAACGATCTATCTCAAGAGCTCCAACTGGGGGTTGGACTCAATGATTTCCTGAGGTCTCTTCCAACCCTATGATTCTATGATTAAGGATTAAGATAGATCCCTAGCTGTAGAGAGACTCTACCAGTGACAGCTACCTTAGACCCTTCCAGAAAGGGCTACACTTTCTCTAAAACTAGGGTACCCTTTCCTCTTGCTTTTGGAGGATCATTGATAAGGCGTTTGTCCACTCTATGAACTAGGAAACTGGGAAGTGACAAAGGGAGGCAGCCCTGAAACACTCTGGGGAATTTACTATTACTGCCTCTTGCTGGGCTATGAGTTAGAGCCTAGTGGAGAGGTAACTTACATCAGTGGAATATTTGTATCTGATAAAGGTAAGTTTGACCCTGTAATGATGGATATTTATTTCATGGGACTTCTAAGAGGATGTAAAAAAGGAGTGAGAGTCTCTGTGCTGTTATTGAATTCAAGAGAGTGCATGTCAGTATCAAATACCGGTTTGTTTGTTTTTGATGGAAGTAGATTGAATTCCACCAGTATTACCTGAGAAATATGTTCCTGGAACCTAATAGGTGAATTTGATTTTACCAACCAGTAGTGTCACTATGCCAATTATGCTAAAAGCCCTTAGAGCTCTCCAGCACTTTAAGACTATTTCTGCAGCAAGTACCAGTGAAGTCTTCAATATAAAATTGCAGATTCCATGGCAACTGTTATCAGCTTCACCTTCCAGCAGAGGTGAATCCAGGAGGCTCTTTTGACTCACATTCCATAATCATTTCCACTACTGATGAACATTATAAGCTCTGAAGACATGTCTATACAAGGAAGAGATACCATGGTGAATAGTATTTCATAGGCTAGGATTTGCTTTGAAACACAATCTGGAATTTTCCTCCCCTAAGGAGAATTTGCCTGGATTGGTAGTTACCTGCTGCATTGACCAACACCCTCACTTCTTTAATCCTAGCCTATGAAATGCTATTCATCATTTTTCATCCCTGACAGCAGGGTCTTATAATTTGTATTGTATAACTTGTTAAGGATTGCTTTTTACTAGTAAATTGAATGTGTGAAACTTTTATAAAAATATCCACATTTGTATAAAAATAACTGACAACATTTAATTTACTCTTTAGGCTGGCTCTATTCTCCTGTAGGGTTCTTAGTGATTGTAACCTTTTCAGCAAAGATAGTGCTTGTTTTCATGTGCCTTACATTTTGTCCCAGGATGATAGAGTATTTTCTTTTCTAATTATGTAAATCAAATGTCATTTTTTAAAATTAGCTGTTATTTTTCTAATATGAACATTATGATTGATGGGGACAATAACGCTTTGAACATACTGTATCAAATCTGCATTTTAAAGAATTTGAACTGTATAAGATGATATTATTATCATTTCATTTGTCCTTTAATTTTCCAATGTAGATAACAATACCAAGACCATCAGTGGCCTCCACCCAATCTGCCTCAGAGAGCTTTCATTATGGTTACCAGCTAGAGAAGAGAGACAGAGACACACATGCTTTGGAACACAATGTGGAATTTTCCTCCCCTAAGGAGAATTTGCCTGGATTGGTAGAGACAGAGGATGCACTTCCCCCTGCTTCCAGCAGAACAGATTTGGTACTTCAGTTAAATCATGAGGCATTTGAGAGGGAAGAACACATCAAAGAATGTGTTAGACTCATGAGCTGTGGCCAAAAGGACCTACTGGAACAATGTAGCAGTAGGGAGGAAGAAAAAGAACCTGAAAATCTCCCTATAGAAACTGAAGACAGAATACTTCCAGGGGTTTGTGAGGATGCCATAGAAATGTCTCACAAGAGGCAGAGTTCTTCTCCACCAGGGAGCTCAAAATTTTTGGAGAGGAAACCTCCAGTTGCTATTGAATCTGCTGATGAATCACAACCAAGGCCTTCCTGCTTGATGTCAAATTCAGATGCAAACTATGAGGTACAGAAGTCAGGAGCAGCTGAAACATCAGATATTTCACCGTCAAGAGTCATTGACCTATTTACTGATAGACAGGAAAACCACATGATAGTTGGTCAGGAAAATGGTTTCCATGCTAATGAAGAAATTGACCATTCTGAAGACTTGGAATGCCACCAGATGGACTTTTCTACATTTTTTCACCAGGAGGGCAAAGAAGAGAAACATGCCCTCAGAAATGGAGAGCTGTTCCATTGTATTTCAGAGAATGAGAGTTCTCATCAATCTAAGAAAGACTTAGTTAGGTCATCCTTTGCAGTCAGACAAAGTCGTATACCAGTTTTAGCACAAGAAGTAGACTTGACGTCAGAGTCCACTTCTCCTGTTTCCGCAAAGGAAAAGCTTTTTCTAAAGAAGGCCCATCAGACAGATTTGGTCAGGCTACTTGTGGAAAAGAGACAGCTCAAGTCTTTCCTTGGTGACCTCTCAAGTGCCTCTGACAAGTCACTGGAGGAGAAAGTGGCTGCTGCTCCTGTACCATTTTCAGAGGATGATGTCTTATGCTCCTTTTCAAGATTGACACTGGACTCTCATTTGGGTAAACAATCTGAGGAGGGCTCTTTGTCACCAAGTAGCTCTCAGTGCAGGAAGAGCAAGATTCCAAGGCCAGTATCCTGGGCTACAACTGATCAAGTCACCAATTCAACCTCAGCTCAATTCTTTCCTCATCCACCCCCAGGAAAACCACCAATGAGGCCTGGGGTGGAAGCCAGGTAATATAGATGAACAAGAAATATGTATTTTATTTTAAAATAATTTTGATCTAGCTTGCAAAATGTATCGTGAAAATATGCATTGTGTGAGTATCCAAAACATCTGTTATTTGTAAACCTATTTCTTTTAAAAATCCAGAATTTTAGTGATCTGACCACAAAAAAGCATTTAAGAAATATTTTAACTGTTTAAAAAAAAAAAGCTTTAGCTTTAACATGTCAGATATTAATAAAATCTCAAAGTGTTACAGAAGGACGTGACAGCCTTCCACTGAACTCTCCAATAGCTACAGATAGCCAGGATTTTCAGGCCTGGATTCCTAAAGTTATAGCTATATTTATACACTTCAGTAAAGACAACCTGATTCTCAGAAGTGCTGAACCCTCACAAAACCCATTACAAAAGCACTCTTACGTAGAAGCTTAATGGTTTAAAAATTTTGATGAACAATATTAGACATAATTAATTTGGGTCAATTCATGGGTGATTATGCACAGGAATGGAAAGAAGGGCAGAGAAGACTCCAGAAGTTCTGCTTCACCCCCAGACATCTATTCATCGGCAGCCATAATCCTGTTCTCAGTATGACTAGACTAGAAGGATAAGAGGAGGGTTAGTGTCACTAGTGAATTACCCTTTGAAGGAAGTTGTAGGTGGATGGCCTTGCCCTCTTCTACACTGGATGACAGACTGCAACCACAGTGGGTAAACAGGTAGTGTATTCTACTCTTCCAAAAGAAGAGTTGATAAGCATCTCCCTACTGTATGCTCCTTCAAGTATTATATATATATAAAAAAGTATGCCTGTGTGCACTTTGACACATCTGTCTAGTACTTATAAAGACATTCTTGATACATGTTGGGGATTACACAAATATGGGTATTTTATCCATTGGAACTGGATATGAACCAAAACCCTAGATCCAGATACCTCTGGACTTTAGGTAAGTTTATATTTGGTGTGAACTCTACAGCTAGAGACCATTTCTAGTTTCTATTTATACTATGTTTATGTATATTCATTGTAATGGACAAAGCACAATAAAACAGTGGAAATAATCTCTCTCCATTTCTTTTTAAGATTACGCAGGTACAGAGTTCTAGGGAGCAGCAATTCAGATTCAGACCTTATATCTCGTCTGGCTCAAATCCTTCAGAATGGATCTCAAAAACCAAGGAGCTCCACCCAGTGTAAGAGTCCAGGATCGCCACATAGCCCAAAAACTCCTCCCAAAAGCCCTGTCATCCCTCGACGCAGCCCCAGTGCCTCACCTAGAAGCTCTTCCTTACCCCGTACAGTTAGTTCTTCACCATCCCGGGCTGGACGGCCCCACCATGATCAGAAGAATTCATCGCCACACCTTGGAAGGAGTAAATCACCTCCTAGCCATTCAGGCTCCTCATCTTCTAGGAGGTCCTGCCAGCAAGAGCACTTCTGCAGCAAACCAAGCAAGAATGGTCTGAAAGGTTCCAACAGCTCCTGCCATCATTCCCCAAACACTAAAACCCCCACAGGAAAGAGCAAATCGGCTAGTAAACTTAGCAGATAGGAACTGAGACTTGACAGGTGTAAAACCCTTCTTCTAATCTGATGCATGTTGTGTCTGTGTCCTGTATATTTAAACAAAAACAAGCCCCCCCAAAAAATCAGTGTTGAATCCTCACTTTCAAAAGAAAGCAAACATAATAAATTATATGACAAGTCCATAGTGTGTAAATGAGTTGCTAGGCATTGCCTAATGATAGGCAGCAAGCAGATCAGGGAGGGCGGTGAAGCCAGAGCAGGACAGTTAAAGATGTGTGGAACATTTGAAGGTGAAACTGAGTGTTCTAATAGGAATTTTAATGTAGTTGTATTTTATCTTGTTTACTTAGGCTTTAAATTATTAGGCCAAATCTTCTTTCTCAAAGAATATGTAATAGAACCTGAAAAATCTGTTTTTATTTCCACAATGACGCTTCGACCTCCGAGATAAGTACTGTACTTCTCAAGCTGTTTTTTTTTTAGTAGAAGTTTAAATAAGCACATTATTTGAAAGATGACTTTTTAAATTTGAGTCATTTCAGTGTCAGGCTGTGCACATCTCTTTCTGAGTCATTCAGTTTCCATCTCATTCTTTGAGATGAAACTCCTAAGGTACAGTTTCCCCTATCTAAGAAAAATTACACACTTCACCTCTTCTATATACTGATTACATTTTAAAAATGTTTAACATTTTCTGAGTTTTTATAGTGATATTTTGCAGGGCATTTGTCTTTTGTTATTTAGTATCCAAGAACCTTTAAACAACAATAATGTTGTTGTTTTTTTCCCTTCTGGAGCCATGGTTTTCCTCTCCAGGACTGTATTAAATATATTCTGGAGACAGTCATTTAAGTCTGAGTTGCAGGAAAAGAAAGGTAGAGTCTTCAGCACGGAGGACTTAACCATATACCATTGTGTGTATTTGATCAGAAGTATATAAATTGTTTGTCTGAATGACTGAGTGCAAAAGAGAAACTTTGTTACAACAATCATTTTCCCATTAGCTATGACCCACTTAAGCCCATATTAACCTTATTCACGATGTTGCTGTCTTGACACTAAACCCAAGATGGCAATGCTGAGAAGGAGCAGATTCAGTTTTTACCTTGAAATTTAGCCTAAATCTAGAAGATGAACTATGTATTTGTTTCATGCTGAAAGGGGAGTGCATAACCTCTACACTTGATAAGTTATAGACAAGAGGAATAAAGGCCTTCACTTCCTCTTCCTAGAGAATCTTAATGAGACAATTTGGCAATGTAACTGGAAGGAAAACAAATCTCAGAAACTTCTCTGAAGTGGACAGTGGATCAGAATAATCTAAAACATGGAAGTACAGATCTGAGAGGGCTACACTAGCATTCCTAATGCTACCTGTCCTAACGATGCCGGATGAGTGGGAGCGTTGTCAATTACTGATCTGCTTGCTGTAGTCATATGCCTTTGTAGCCAATATCTGTGCTTTTTATATTTAACCTGTTTGTTGCCAAACTTGTACCTTTGGACTGAAAAGGAAATATTTCCCCTCTAACATATTTCTAAAGCTGCATCACAGCTATCCTGGAGCTGCACTGAATTTTACTTGTTCTGTCAAAGTGTATTGGGATTTTCTTTTCCCTCCTGTGCATACTGTTTTCCATATGTAATGTAGCACAGTGTGGAACCTTAGTGGAACTCAGGGTTTCAAGCACTGCAGAGGAATGCAATAGGTAGGGCATACCTACTGTTTCTGAAGAAATTATACCATTGGAGAGGCCTATTCCTTTGTATTATATTGTATAATAGGTGCTATATTAATAATTGCATGTCCTCATGGTAAATTATATAATATAAATATTTATAAATATATATATATATACACACACACATATGCTTATATACACTTATTCTTTCTCATTTTTCATTTGGAATTTATAGACCACAGATGGTGCAGTTCTTTTTCTATTGTGTGCCTGAATACTCTTAGCGTTGCATCTCTCTTTTCCTGAAAATAGTTTCCTGGCATCCACCAAGTCAAATAGCCTTCATGCCTCAGTACAAGGTTGAAGGGTTGGTGATTTGTCAGCAAGTCAGTGTTTTGTGTCTCAGCCTTTTCTTTTTATTTATAATTGTGTGTGTGTGTGTATGTGTGTGTTTGCGTGTGAAACAGGAACACAGACTCAGAGGTACTGTATCTTTGATTGCAAGATAGGATTTGTAATTATTGTTTTTTCATTTTTCATGTGCATTTTTAAGCTGCACCACGATACAAGAGCAGTGACAGTTAATGAATGCCTAATATATGACTATGACAAAAACAAAACAAACCCCATCGTTTTCTTTTTGATTTCCTTACCTGTCACCTTGCAGTGCTCACTAAAGAGAGTTGAATGTCATTGTAGATATTTTTTCTAAAGGTTCTGCTGATACGGTTTCTTAAGACTGTGTGGCAGCTTATGATAATTTTTCATTCTCAATTTTCTGAGGAGTATTCACTATACCAGTCCTATACCAGTGAGGACTGGGAGAGGGGGTGGTGGGTGGCATTAACTTCAGTGAGGGCAAGTTTGGGCTCTGTGCCTTTCCCCTGAAATACTAAAATTAAGGTAATTGCATTTTCTCCCTGATATAGCAGGATCCCAAACCAGATAATCACTGCTGTTATAACTATAGGTTGTTTTACAGATGAGGGGAGACCTGAAACTTGAGATGTTTTCTTTCTCTTTGCCAGAGATTAAAATATACCAATATTATTGTGCAATATTACATAATTGTGAATATAACGGAGAACATTAATGTTGTAGAAATACATTACTATTTGCACTTCTTGACAATAAAAAGAGAGGGACTACATAAGAATGGAGGAAAGATCAAAGCAGAGGATGATGCTTTTGGCATTTTGAGTACTATGCATAGTAAAAGAACTTTATGTCCCGGGTGGTGGCTCATTGCAGATTTCTGAGACAAATGGTTTTGTAGCTGATTAGAAAAATACTGAGTTGCTAATGGAAGCAACTTTAATTTATGGATCAGTCAAGAATATAGCCTCTCTTGTACTGTTCTCCCTGTTTAAGTTTGTTGGTTATGTAACTTCTCTCCCATGAAGGTAACAAAATTGAGTATTATGAACTAAGCTATGAGCAAATGTAGTTATATAGTAAGTCCTGTGTAATTGCCATCCTTGTAACATTTCTAGAAGAGCCTCTGTAATCATCAGTGACCATGTAAAGAATAAATCCCAGCAGTGAAAATATATAAATTATATACATTTAATTCCAGTAATGCTAAAAGCCAAAGGCTGCTGTGTAAAGTCTAAGTAAATGGCTTTGTGCGGGGAACCAATGCTTAGGAAAGGGAGAATCTTCCCCAGGGCCCAGAGCAGCTGCAGCCATTCTGCACAGGTTTCAGTAGCTTCCTCTTACACAAAGGTTAGTTCATGAACCCATTATACTCTCCTCCAATCCATATCTCCATTTTTGGGGAGAGAACTGCTATGCAGCCAAGACATACAGAACTTTCAGATTTGTCCTGCATAGTTCCTCTTCAGTACCACGCATGTGTTCTGAAACTGGCAGTTCCACTGTTTCATGGGTCTTTTGTGGCCAAGTAGGAGGTGTTGGGGAAGGAGCAGAATTTTCCCCTTTTATGACTGCTACGCCCTCTAGAGCATTTTTGCACAGATGTCAGTATGACTCCCTTAATGTATTAAATGAAATAAAAGCAAGCATTTGATATCGTGCTTAGTTGGTAGTTTTTAAAAGTGGGTATTAGTATTAGCAAAACCTTTCCAAGGTACACCGACAACTTGTTTGATCAATTATAAGAAAAAACCTGTCTCAACTTAATGAGAGACATGCCAGAGTTGGCAGACAGAAGGATGCTAAGTGTATATCTGCCACTAGAACAGAGCAGGTGCCTCAGAATAGGCATAGGTAACATGCTGCTAATTGTGCTGTGCTACTGCTCTAAAAAAGGAGCCATACTTTGCCCCAGTTATCACTACATGTTAGCTGTCTGGGTGAGTGTCTTGGTGCAGGACATTCCCTGTAGCCAGCAACTATATCCTTTCTGGGAAAATCCTTTCTTGATATTTGCATGGGTGAGAAACAAGCTCCCTATGCCCTGACCTCACAGAATACTCATGAAGCACAGGGCTATATCTTGTCCTATATGTTTAAAAGTGGGCTGATGGTCTTTTCATCTTTTAAGACCTGTATTCTGAGATCTCCATTCTATGCATTTCTGGGGCATTGTGATCAATTATAGCAAGGGAAACACTGAACTTGGTCTTTTAAAAGTAGTTACATTCACCACCTATTTTTTCAATAAAAGTGTGTGGGAACTACCTTAACTATCGCCTCCTCTTTGTTAAAATTCAGCTCTGCCAGAACTAACAGAGGCCTACTGTCCTTTCTTTTAGTTTTACCTCCTTCTTGAACTACCCACACTTATCTGGCCTAATTGCAACCCCAGCCCTGCTCCTCCCCCCAATCATACAGTGCTAACTTGGGCAAAATGCCCATGCTCCTTATACAGCATTTGTGACAGTGGCTGAACTGTAATGTACTATAAACCTAATTCTTTCTCCCTCCCTAAAGCAGAACTTAGGCAATGCTTGATTTACACTACAGTCTCCTCTCAGCAGGCAACCTTTTCCATAATAAATTGTACATTTTCCCCAGAACTGTAAGGACATGAATTCTGGTAGTGGCATCAACATGAGAATGAAGCACTGCCAAAAGGTAATTGTTTCAGTCTCTTTAACAGTGAATTAGTGGCAAAGAACTAATGCATGCCTCCCAATACTATTTGATATAATATTTTTTTGTTTCATTTAAATATTTTTGCATATTTCATTTCAATGACATAAACGAATAGGAGGAATGTGTAATTGGAATCACAATCCAATTATTTCTAGTACTCTGGTATAAAGTAACAATTTGTTTTCTTATGGGCTTGATCCTGTGGAGTGCTGAATGCCCTCAACTCCTGTTGACCACTGTTGAAGATGAGGATGCTCAGCAACTTGCAAGATTAGTCTCATAATGTAAACACTGTCATTCCAACTGTCAGTTAGTTCATCTGTGTTTCCATTATACCACAGTCAGGGGACCTGGTTACTGTATTGAAAAAGATGTACTACCTAACCATGTCCCCTGTGTTTGCCTGTTAAAAATTATGAAAGGCCCTTGCTATTACTGGAGCATTTAGTCTAATGCCCTTTCATATATCTCTTTGGGGAAAATACAAGGAAACCAGACAGTGAACAAATGAATCTTAAGAAATACAGACAAGTCACCACAGTACACATAAGTTCACAATCTGTATGTTACTGGCCTCCTACCTGACCTCCCTTCCCCTGAAACACAAACATACAAATATCTTTGGAAAAAATAAATTAAATAAAGGGGAGACTGGATTGTGTAATCTCTCATACTACCTAGTTTTACCCTACCATGCCATCTAAGGCAGAGGAGATGGTATAATTACAGTCACAGCAGGCTCTGTAATATTATGCTTTAAATCATCAGGTTTATTTTAATATTGAGCCAGAGGTCTCTTTAAGACAAAAATATATAGACGCTTATTATCTCTAGGTCCTGTTTGTTATCTTAGTGGCTACTCCATTAATTAATGTTTTAATTTATATTTCACCTTCATTCCATTCATCCTTAGTAGTAGTGATTCTTTAAGAATGACAAGTCTCTAGTACTTTCAATCTTTCCTGTATAGAATATACTGTTTTTTGTTAGCCATTCACTTTCCAAGATGCTCAGCATCCGTGCCAGCTAATCATGGAAATGACTTTCTCCCTTTGCAAAAATTGTTCATTGAGGAGAAAATTATATTCAGAAATAAATATGTGGCTGATGCATAAAGATAGTACAAGAGTGTGATTTTAACTGCAAGCTCAGATATTGACTTGAACTTTTTCAAAGATGCATGGTATCTGAAGCCTCTGTGTTGGTTCAGAGTCCATCTCTCATTAATGCTAGACACTGTGCAATGCAAAACTTGAGCTTGAATATAACAAAGGCTTTTACTGAAATGCTGAAATAAAGAAACCCTGCATATATACAAATGAATATATGTTGATTCAGATGTTTTGCTTCTTAGGCCTTCAGCAATATCCTTATCCAGTGCAAATGTTGGCTTATATGATCTATAAGTTTTGCTGTTTACTAATTCCATTCCTCCTGCATATGGATAATTTGGATCCTGGGCTGGTCTAGCCATTCTCGTGGAAATGAAACTCTCATTGAAGTCAGTGGAGCTTTTGCCAGTATATGAACTGAAGGAATGGGCACACTACACTGTGAGAATATTTACAGTTGCTGGTTATTTTATTTGGGAAAATGAATATCTGTTTCGTGACCACAGTGCAGACCTATGCCCCCTCCTTAGTTTATTTTAGCAATTATTGTGGTGGGGAGCCATTCTGTGACCGGGGCGGAGAGCACATGGACTCTAAAGCAATATCATAAGCAGGCTGCCCATAAGAGGTGTTCACCACTCAAAAGTCTCAAAAGGAATTTAACTACCTCCAATGGGAGATGTAGGTGTTAAGAGTCCTTTCAGAATCAGTTCATCTGTCAACTGACCAGTGTATGGGGTGCTCTAACAGCAGGACAATTTGCACTTACCTCCAAAAATACAATGTGGATGAGCCTGTCTTCCCATGTCTGGAGAGTGGGAGTCCTTTTTGATTCTCATAAACCCCTATGTATGCATGGCAGAGCAAGGTCATAATTTGACATTGGGAAAGTCAGGTTTTTTTTTTTGGTTTTTTTTTAAAGCTATGTCATACCCTCTGTTCCTCTATCTGCTTGACAAAATCCCAATAAGAAGTTACTTGGAGACTTTCCCTGCATTCATACTACCTTCCCTGGCCCGAGAGCAAGGTTCTAAAGTCTTCCTGACTTCTGATTTTTCTCTTGAATCAGCTCAGATACAAGCTGTTATGTTGGCGTGGGCGGCAACTGATTTTCAACTGTTTTCCTACAAGTATCCAGTACGATAAATTAAGGAAATCACCAGCAATGCGTAGAGATTAGTGAACTGCTGAATCTGTGAATCATTAGTTGCTACTGTAAAATCTCTGGGCAATAAAAGAAATAAATGAAATTCTGTAAATCAGCTACAGACAGAATGTTCCATGAAGCCAATAAGATATTTAACAACTCAAGATTAAAATATATGATATAATTGTTGTTCCCAGATCTTATTAGTGACCATTGTAAAAGGTAATTGTTGAGAGTCCTCCAAACTCTCTTGCCCTGTACTTTCCCTTTGTCTCCTCTCCCTGAAATCTTGTAAGCCATTTTTGTTTTCTTTTTGCTCAGGCATCAAAGAACATAAGATTTCAGCAAAAGAACTAATGCCCTTGTAACAGTTGTTTGTATATAAAGGTGTAATTATTTATTTGTTTTCCCATTTGTACCATATCAAGGCTTTGTACAATGTTTTATGTTCTGTTTTCAAATTATTTTGTATTTTATTTTTATAAACTGGTTCTAAATAAAATACTCATTCAGCATGCAAAACTTCAATCCTTGAATGCCTACATATAAGTTTATGGTTTATAAAACTCAGCCAATTATTTTTATAGCCTATTTCTTGACTCTTAAAACTCTGAACTTACAAATGGAGAGAAGCAGCATCAATTGTATTATGACATAATTGTTTCTTTTGAATATGTAGAACATACACAGTGGAAATTTGTTGGTATTAAAGCAAGTAACTGAGATGTTGATGTTGCAAACTGGAAAGGTTGGACCCAAAAGCTCGTACTGATTCACTATTACAGTAGTAAGAATAGACATTTTAGCTTTGCTGTTTCTAACCTCGCTCCCTCCATATAACCAAGCAATGACTCTGGTACAGGTCAGGTTCAGTGTAGTAAAAATCTGGCAGATACCAAATCTGTCATTCTGGCCTTGTTTACACTAGGAAACTAGATCAGCATAACTACGTCATTCAGAGGTGTGAAAAATCCATTCTCCGAGGTGACAGAGTTAAATTTACCTAACCCCCAGTGTTTACAGTGCTACTCAGTTGGAGAATTCTTTAGTTGGGATTGGTCCTGCTTTGGGCAGGAGGCTGGACTCAGTGACCTCCTGAGGTCTCTTCTAGCCCTGGGATACTATAAATCTATTATTCTCATGGAGGTGTCTTCACTGAAGCATTAAAGCACTAGTGCAGATGTCACTAAAGCAGTTTGTGTAGATATACCCTGAGAAACCAATAGTCTCCTTTGTTACCTCCCCTCCAGTCACAAAGGTCTCTGTGGTCAGTGTCGTCTTAGAATGATGGCAAATATTCTTTATAAGATAGCTGTCAGGGATGGTCCTGGCTTTTACTGGCCTTGCAGCTGCATGAGGAAACCAGCCTTGTCTGTATGCAATGTATCTGAGCTGCAGCACATAGAAAAGTGAAAGAAAAAAGGCTGTTGTAGAATTTGGACAAGTTGCAGTTACTTGTATATGCTACCAAGTTTTGTTAACAAAACTTTTGACACCCAGAAGTCTACAAACAAAAATCACCAGAGGGTGTTCACACTTGCTTCCTCTGTTGACAAATCATGTCCACGCTGGGGATGCCATCATTGACAGTGTTAGCACCGTGCAATGTTGTGGAAAGGCAGAGCTGATCCCTATGCATCTTGGGATTCCTTTCAAGTTCTCCCATAGCCTCCTCAGCTGCTGGGAGCGGCATCATGAGTAGCTTTGTGAGCTCACCATGTGGAGGAATGTCACTGCAGCATAGTAATCTCCTGCCACCTCCTCCCTGGAGCAGTGTTCCTAGTGCAGGGTAGAACAGGAACATTCCAACAACTTACTGTTACCCAGAGCAGCACACTCCGCTGCCAGATACTTTCTGGAACTCTGAAGGAGCAGGAGCATATGCTTGTAGGATAGCAGAGTTCAAAACAATGAGCAGAGCAATCAGGGTAGGCATTCTGGGAGACTGGCAGAAGCCAGATCTGTCAACAAAACAAACAGTAGTGTCTACATTGGCTCTTTGTCAACAAGAAAGGGAGGAGAAAAGAAAAAAAAGTTTCTCATAAAGATGGACAGTTTTGGTCACCGAAACTGGGCATTTTTCCTTTACACAAATTGCACTGCGGTATGCATACTCATGCTGCTTTATTGCCAAAAGCCGTTTTTGGCAACAAAACTTGGTAGTGTTGACCAGGCTTAAGTCACTTTTCATATATTTCTGATAAAGCAGGTACATGTAGGCTAAATCCCCTTCAATGGTTATATCTGCAAGTAAACATGCATTTCTCATTCCTGATTTGCTACAGAAAATAGTCTGGTCTGTAACATGGCAACATGGAATATTAGAGATGAAGTCCACAACAGGGGAAAATTCCATCAGCTCTATTTCAGCTCTATCACCAACCACATATGCTATGCCACTGCCATGCTAGGTATTGGCACCACAAATAAAAGGGCCAGGCACTGACCCCTTTACAGTCAATAGCAATACTCTCATTGGTTTCCACAGTAGCTGGAACAGGCCCTCACCTATTTTCTTTTATGCAAATAATCTCAAGTCTCTTCACACAATAGAAGCATAAATCCTGAATTCATTTACAGTCATAAATCTCAGAAAATGTCTTGGTTTAGAAGCAGGAAGGAATTTGGTAATATACTTCAGTAGAGAGAGACTTCCTATGCAGGTCTGTTGAAAGTCAGTAATATCATGGATGTTGCATACCAGTAGATCAGATGAGCACAATTCAGATGTATGATGCTGGGGATCGAAATAGCAATTCTGTACTGAAGCCAGGTAGCTCAGTGGGTTAATTTACAGAGCTGTCACTGCTCAAAACTTGATTGGAATATGAATCATATCTCAAATGAAAGGGTTTGAACTTTATCTGGCCACAATGAATGTAAGTAAATAATTACTAGTGACTAGTGTCGTGTTCATGATTGCATGGCGGGAGGGTCTTGTCCACCCACTGTTCTTAAAGTGTCTCAGGAATTCCGCAGCACTTGACCTACAAATATTGGCCGCTTCTCAGTTGAAAAAAATCCAACATAGCAGACTCAAATTTCAGTGTGAGAGAGATGTGTAGTACATGCAAGCTAGACTCTACCAAGCAATGCTGCAAAATAGCGAACAATTGGCAAAATAGCCTCAAAAGATGCTGAACAGTTAAGAAGTGGGTGCTGTAGCCTGGACAAGTTGGGAGTCACTGCCCAGCATGATTAGGTGTTCTTTAGAGCACATTTCTCTAATCTTGCTGCATGTTACTGAAGCAATAATCACTACTTGTCTTAACAGAATAGAGGTAAAGGCTGCATTTCAGTTAAAGCAAGGGTGGGGAACTTTTTTTGGGTCAGGGGCTGCTGACCCACAGAAAAGTTAGTCAGAGGCCACACAGTGAGAAACAAAGAATAAAAACCCCTCCCTGACATGTCCCCTGACTGAGAAGAAAGACACTTCCCTCGTTCCCCTTGCACACAAGAGCCTAGAAGAGCCCAGGTTTGGGGATTTTGTGTACTCCAGCCCTGTCGGTAGTGGTGGGTGGGAGGCCAGAGCTCTGAGCTTTGGAGGCTGGATACAGGCAAGTTCGGGGGCCACATCCAGCCGCCAAGCCTTCGGTTCCCCACCCGAGGTAAAGGAAACACAACTTGATGAAGCCTACATGTCAATGAGCAGGTTCTGCCTATGTGAATTCCCATCACGTTAATATGTGCACATCGAGCAAATAGGAATCCTATGCTATTCCCAAGCAATAGGAAGCTTTTAACATCAAAGCTTAGGACAAACTAATTCTGGATGGGTCAGTTTAAGGAAACCTGGTAGGTGATTCATAAGGTAGCTGTGCCTATTACCTGCAGCAACTGGGTTTTTGAAGTAAAACTTCTCAGAAGCCAGACCATCTTTTTGTAGAAGGCCCCTAGCCTGTATTAACCTATACTGAAGATGTATTGTATATTTGTGTTACAGTATAATCTTGCATACTGTACACAGACTAGGAAAGTGAGGAAGAACACACACCAGCAATATTATACTGCAGGTTTACTTTTAATTAGGCAACAGCTGCCAGATTAAAAAATATATACACAGGTGCTGAAGTTAATATAAAGGAAAATAAAAGGGAATCTTTTCATCAGCAGTAAAGGGAAACTAATGAGTTGGAGAAAGTAACACAATAGTTTCCAAAGGTGATGACAAAATAACCCTACTTTTGCATTTGTGCTGGTAGGTCTAATACAGATGGAACACCTCAGAGCTCTGAAGTCTGAACTACTTAAACCATGGCACCCGCAGGTAGCGTATCTTTGTGCTGGTGTTGGGTAATAGTCCATCCTTGTCTCAACCATTGGTTTGTTTCTTTCTGCTGCAGGAAGTAAACTGTCACTAATAACTGCTGTGGGGGGTAATGGATTAAAGGCCACCCCCCCAATACAATACTAAATGGGAAAAAAGTCTGTGGGAGTATTTAGTTTTAATACTGTCCGAGATTCCTTTCAGCCATCTGGATAACTTGTTTCAGATTTGTTTTTCAGCCATACCTGAAGAGCAGCCAACTAGAATAACAGAGCTCTCTCAACATGATCAAACCCTCTTCTATACAGGCAGTCCAAATGTGGGGACTCGGTGCAGGCTATGTGACTGAAATTTGCTCACTTTGGGGTAGCAGTTTCAGTCTCCAATAAGGGGATCTTATTTTGGGACCCCGATGAAAAATTCTTGCACTACTCCCTAATGCTGGCAGCTGTTGATGTCCCCTCAGCTTTATTGAAATTTAAAACAAAGGGCTTCATTATTTCCTCAGAATTAACAAAAAAGGTACTTCCTAAAAGCACAGTACTATGGTCACAACTGACTGTAAAAATGACATCTTACTTAACAGATCCATACCCTTTCTCAGCTAGGAAAGGAGCTGAACTCTGTGGGTATGTGGATAAAGCAATCATATGTACTAGTCACAATTAATTTAAGAAGAGCTGTTAAATAGCAATAGTTTTCACTATTTTGATACTCAAATGAAATGCATTGTCATCTATAGAAATTAATGTAAAAACCAGGCTTTTGTTCTATCAGGATAAGTAATGGTTCTCCTTGGCTCTTATTCGTGCCACCGCTGACATTTAGGAATTGTTTTTTCCCAGACTCTCCTTGTTTCCATCCTCTTTTTTACCTCCAGACATAGTACGGAACTATCTTTCTCTTCAATGTGCCTAGCACAATGTGGTCCTGATCAATGAGTAGGGCTCTTAAGTGCTATGATATAAATAATAAGGGAATGGAAGGTCTTCTACCACTTCTGTCCAAACAGAGGCCCAGCAACTGGAACTCTTTCAAGAGCAAAGAAAGAGCACTTGTTCTGCCCCAACCGAAGTCAAACTCTTAACTGGCATATTCTGAGCAGCAAGTTTACTGTCAGTTCTGGGCAATGGGTTTTTTTCAGATGGTATGATATTTGTCCCCAGAAAGCATGCTGTATCTGCTGAAGACAGAACCTGGTGCTAAGATAGACCAGTTCCATATTGAAAGTAGACATCAGAAATATTGTTTTGCTAAGTTTGTTTTTCTTTTTAAATGATGACAAGTAACCTCCACTTTCATTGCAGTTAAGCAAAATGCTTCTGCAGGGAAGGTGCATCTGAAGAGCTGAAAGTGACCAGTGACCAGATGGAACAATGCTGGATTAAATCTGAGCAGCACACTCATGGATCAGCAGCTCTGCGGCCTAGTTCTATTCAATCCCTGAGGACGTAACGTTGTCAAACCCTTGGGGTACCTTGCACAGCTCAGATTTTTTACAAGGGCTTTTTAAAAATACAATAAAAATAGCAGACACTAAATTTAAAGTCAACTATTTTTGCAGTTGAATTTAAAAACACTCAACTTGTGTAACTAGCAGATTCTGCTCCTGCTATTAAATAATTGTAACTTTACCTTTGCACCCCACTCCATCATGCGTTTTATATTCAAAACGTCACTAACTCAAAGAGGATACACACAAGAGTCTTAGTCAAAATAAATTTGATTTTTTGGAACGAGGATAAGGAAGAAAACAGAAGAGACACATTAACCAACTGCAAACAGTTGGTGTTAACAAATGGGAGATTGGTAGTGTTAAATGCCACCTAATGTAAAACTTTCCCCACTGGGGAAAAAAAAAAAAAAGCCGGAGGCAAGTCCAGTTGGCTCCATTATAGTCACAGGCTGGAGCAGACATAACAGCACCTCTAATATCAGTCATTTTACATATATTCAAGTTTTACACATCTGCAAAACAGAAATAGTAGCAGCCATTTGGATGTTCTTTCTTAATGGTTCTCAGGGGTGGTCTAGGAAATTCTGAAGGGCCTGGTTCTTGAGACATAGAACTAGAACTACAGCTGCTGCTTCTGCTGCTGCTTCCAGCCATCTGTACTCTGCCTCTGTCTTCAGCTGGGGAGATCTGGGGAGACCCAGGACTCAGATACCCTGCAGTGGTCTGAGTAGAAGTGGTGGCATAGGTGGTTGGGCCTGTGTTGTTTTTCACATAAACATTTTTGATAGCCACCAGTGTGTGTGCCATAATACTGAGGCTGTTGCTGAGATCTTGCATGCCTTGCTGCAGCAAACGAAGGTTGTGATTGACACTGTCAAAGCCAGATTGGATCACTTGCATCTGGTTCTGCTGAATCTGTATTAAATCCTCTTCAGTAATTTCATTTTGGTCTGCCTGTGACCGGCCTTTTGTTTTGGCTTTTACTTTCCCAGACAAGCCACCCCCAGCTGTTCCCAGAAAGGGCAAGTGCTCCTGGCTAGGTGGAACCACAGCCATGTCCTCAGAACTTTCTTCTGGCTCCACTACCTTCACTACTATTTCTTCTTTTAAGTTCATCTTCTCAAGACAGGGTTGATGGGATGGGCCAGGATCATCTGTAAACCCTAAAAGGGCATAGAGGAGAAATGGAAATAGGAGTCAGACTTCATCATCTCTGTGCTTAATCAAACCTCTGCCTACCCCGTGAGTACAACTGGCTTTTTTATGTGGTAGTTAATTCTTCTGATGTCAAGACCCTACAATGAGGAGTTGTACTGTATTATCTCCTACACTCATAGCACGCTTTGAAATAATCAAAACATGCTTACTGTAAATGACATAACTCAGCAATGCAAATCTTTGTCACCACAACAGCAGGGACTGACTGCCGATTGCTCAGAATCGACTCTAGTACTCCACCAGAATGAAATGAGTAAGGAGAGTTGATGGGAGAAACCCAGCACGGTGTGGACCCTAAGGTAGGGAGATTTAAGATACGCTGACCTGAGTTATGCTACTAATGCAACTCAAACTGTGTAGCTTAGATCAACTTGAACCTGTACTGTAGACCTGCCCTCCCATTGAAATCACTTACTCCCCAACAGATCAGTCAAAAGCATGTGATACAGAACAGACTAAATTCATTCCAAGCTCTTATTTTCCTCTCTCCAAGTTTAGCACAATAAACCCAGTATTTGCAAAGCAGACCCACAGTGGCACCCTCTCTGAATCACTCCTCCTTGTCAGAAGTCTCCAATTGTGGGAAGATCAACACTGCAGCAGTTGATCTTCTGGTGTATGATTTAGTGAGTCTAGTAAAAGACCTGCTAAATCAATTGCTCAGGGTGCCCCTGTCAGTGCCAGTATTCCTACTCCATATGAGGACTAAGGAAAGTAGATAGAAGTGTTCTATCGACTTCCCGCTGTGAGGATGGCGCCAAAACACAGCTTAAAGTACACCGACTCCAGCTACATTTTGTTATGTAGCTGGAATTGCATAGCTTAAGCTAGAGGTGGGGAACCTTTTGTTGGGTAGGGGCCATTAACCCACAGAAAAATCAGTTGGGGGCTGCACTCAAGTGAGAAGCAAAACAAAACAAACCCCTCATAGACATGGCCCCTGACTGACACTCCCCACATTCCCCTTGCACACCAGAGCCTAAGAGGCCCAGGCTAGTAGATTTTGTGGGCTCCAGCTCCATAGTAGGGAAACAATGGGGGAGTCTGAGCTCCAGTGAGGGCTCCCCAGTGCTGAGGAGGTCCGAGCCTTGGGGGCTTGACCTTCCCCTGCAGTGTGGACCTGGCCTCTGATTCCTTGCACTAATGCTCATACCTTGCAGCTCACACACAACAGGGTGTAATTTACCAGTTGGCTGCATTTTACAAAGGCTGGGATTTGCAAGGTGGAATACTTTCTTGTGAGTGTTTGGAATGATCCAAATTTGCATATATGCAGGTGGGTCTATACTGTTTGTTCACTTGTTTTCACTGCCTATAAAGCAAAACCTGCCAACAGTTCACCATCTATCTGATTTAGGCAAGAAGAGGAAGCCATTATAAACAAATTATGTTGAAAAAAGTATTTTGGACAGTAGAACATCCTTAATTTGCACACAACTGTGACCCCTGGTGAATTAGTAAATGAAGAAAAGGCTCTGCTTCTTAAATCATACTGTGTTCATTTCTTCTGACAACTATAATTACCTGTGACTTGATATTTTATACAATCTACTCATAAGATAGTGTTCTGGGAGTTTTTTTCCTTCTTGAGGCACAGAATCAGGTGAACAGATACTACTTAAAACCTTGGTTCTTATATTACTTGCCTTGACTATCAAGAGTAATCCCACTAAAATCAATGTTACACTTTAGAGGAATAAAGTGAAGCAAGTGTCTGAGTCTATGGGTACGTCTAGACTACCGCGTTTTGTCGACGGAAGTTTTGTCGACAGATACTGTCGACAAAACTTCCGTCGACAAAGCGTCCAGACACATTGAGTTCTGTCGACAAAGCAAGCTGCTTTGTCGACAGAACTCCGTAATCTGGACGCAACGTTACAGGCAATAACACCTTCTGTCGACAGAGTTCTGTCGACAGAAGGTGTTATGCCTCGTAAAATGAGGTATACCAGTGTCGACAAAACTGCTGAGTTCTGTCGACGTTATGTCGACAGAACTCAGCGGTAGTGTAGACGCTGGTATAGTTTTGTCGACAAAAGTCCACTTTTGTCGACAAAACTAGGTAGTCTAGACACACCCTCAACAACAGGGCTAAACTCGAAATAAGTCACAGGACTTGAGCTACGCTTATTGTGTAGCTTAAGTTGCGAAATAGCTTATTTAGACTTTTGGAGCTGTCTACACAGCAGTTATTTTGAGATAGAGCATTCTTCCCCTACTCCTCACACAATGAGGGTTACAGGAGTCTGAGTAAGCAGTCCTCCAGCTTGACATTATTTTGATATTATGTCGAAATAACTGATTGTGTTTAGACATGGACTCTGTTATTTGGAACAGTCAGTTATTCCAAAATAACACTGCTGTGTAGATAAAGCCTAAGCATTTTCCAGATTAGAAACACTTTACAGTTAGATATAACTATGAGCAACTGCTATAACACAAAAAACAAATTGATTCTTCACACAAGCAAGCTATGCATCATGGTCCCTAAAACCACTGGAAGATGGAGACGTCACTGACAGGGGCATAAGCAAGCACAAAGCTTCAAACCGAAAACTGCCTGGGGTAAGTCTCACTTACACCTGTGTCCTTTGTACATTACACCACTGCCTCATGTGAGTAACAGGAGTTGAGGGGAAGGGGGTGAGTGATGCTCTGGGTCTGTCCCTTAGGAAGCACCTCTGGGACAGAAAAAGCCACATCTAGAGGGGCCGTGGTCGTACGGGTCCCCGACAGGGCAAAAAAAAATCTCATCATTAAGAATGAAGCCGGGCCACGGCGGGGGGAGGGGGGGACCTGGGAGCCGCCGCTCCCGGCTGATGACAGGTGCCCCCCTTTCAGCGCCGGACGTGGGGAAGCAGCACAAAGCCGCCGGGAGCTGCACAGAGGCTGAGCTAACTCCTCTGCAGGGGGCATGGGCCGGAGGGGGGGGCTAATCCCCCGGCTCCATGACAACGCCGACTCCTGCCGTGTCGCAGGCCCAGATTGGTGGGGGGG